TTCCAACCTTCTAAGTATTCCTTTATATGTGGTTCAGAGTTCTGGGACCATCCCCTGAGCCTGCTTGGTCGGGTATTCTGTGTTGTTGTTGGCAGTGCTCTCTGCTATACGTCCACCTGATCCGCCATCTTGTTTTTTCTCCAGAATAACTGTTTTAATAATAAATTTTATTCTTTTCTGCAGCATTTCCCTACTTTTAGTATTTTATGCGGATAACTGTTAGATTAAATGCAACTGTATTTATAATACACTTATCTTTATCTTCTTTAAAACAGAAGCTAAACTTGGACTTGGCTGACCTTCGCAAAGAAAAAGAAGATTTACTAAAGAAATTAGAGTCTTCATCAGAAATCACAAGTTTGGCAGATGAAGTTTCCCGGGTAACAGTTCCACGGATACAGGTTACAACAATTGGGCCTTCAAGAAGCATGGATTTGGAAATGAAGCAGCTGCAGTGTAAACTAAAGGTAATTCTAGAGTTTATTAAACGAGAGAGCATATATTAACTTACTGAATCCTCAAGGACATGTTTTCACCAATTCTAATTTTATTCTATAAGAATTAATTATTCTATAAATAATCCCAAAATTATAAATACTACATCGCACAGCCTCATTCTGTTTTAGTCTGGTAAATTCTTAACTGGACACCCATTTATTATTGTCTCAAAATATGGCAAAGACCCCCATGGCATCCTAATTTAGGAGCTGATGGAATCCGTGTAGTATCATTCTGCTCCACTCTTCTCTCTGCTCCCCACACCTCCCCCCACTTCACAGATGATGCCAACATCATCACTCTCCTCTTCACACTTGCTGTTTGGATTTTGGTGGTGGTGGTGGTTGAAGGTAGGTGAAAACAAAGAACTCAGAGGAGATAGAGAAGCAGCAGAACCCAAAGAGTAGGTTCGTTAAAAAGCTTTTGGCAAGTTAAACCTGAGAGGCAGAATAAAAATCAGTCTTACACACAATTGTATTGACAATTCAGGTGATACTTTCAACCTCTTTAAACACTGGCATTCTTATAAGAAACAGGATTTGTGAGTTTTAATTAGAAAGTTCGTTTTCATGCAACATAATTTAATTTTCCAGTATTTATTGTTTTCAGTGGGGATTGCTAGTTGGAAGCTTAGAAAGGGACATTGTATATGAGAAAGTAGTGAGAGTCCATTTTATTCTAAGGAAATTTGTATAAATGCGCAGGAGGACTGGACTGACTGGGACTGTTAATGGGTTTGTAATACTGACTTGTCAAATCTAACTTTTTAGATTCTAAAATATATATACATATTCCAATAATATCTTAGTGAAGGGTTACTGTAAGTATGAAATGTAAATTAGTATGTCAGAACTTGAAAATATTTTTGCTTTGTTAATAATCAGATACACTGGTCTAAATGGGCATTGATTGAAATGCTTTCTGATACCATCTTTTTCTTAAAGTTTTCATGTGGGGAAACTGCCTCAACCACAATATTTAATAAATATAAATACCTTAGAAAATAAGAGAAACATGGAAAAAGGTACTGCGCAAGTCTGGAGGCTTGCATCTTCTCTTTAAATAGGAACATACCAGCATTTAGGTTTCATATACAGAGCATGGCACTGCAGGACTCTTCTTTGGTCTTACCCACCACAGAGTCTTAGTTCACAGTTCGGGGATGCTTCTTATATTTGAATCTTCCTGATTCTAACATAACTTGTTTTTTTTTTTACCAAGATAAAATAGAATGCTAGCTCCAATAGTGACTAATCTGACTTATAAAATTTTGTAAATTGTTAATAGTTTTAAGTTGATTTATGTATTTTTCTTATTTTATTTTACTTACTACAAACTGTGTAACATAATTTTTCGTAATGCTTGGCCTGTGTTGAGTATCTGGTTATTTATAGTATGGGTATCTGTAGCGCTAGTTTTTAACCATCTATACATCTTTCTCTAAGAAGCTCTGGTAGCATAGTGGTTACGAATCAGGCTGCTAATCTCACAGTCAGAAGTTCAAAACTACTAGCTGTTCCGTGGGAGAAAGATGAGGCTTTCTGCTCCTGTAAAGCTTTACAGCCTCGGAAACCCTGTGCAGGGTCGCTATGAGTCAGAATCGACTCCACGGCACATAACAATAGCATACATCTTTCTCTGACTGAGAATGAAATGTGTCAGACTAAAAGGTCTCACCAACACCACATAGACCAGTACTTGCTTAGTGCGAAAGACATTGTCTATATCTGTCTAGCCTTTGTTGTTGTTGTTAAGCATCATCGAGTCTGTTCTGACTCATAGCAACCCTGTATAGGGATTCCAAGGAGTGGCTGGTGGGTTTAAACTGCAGACCTTTCAGTTCAAACTGACCTTGCAGTCCAGCACATTATCCTGCAGCACCACACCAGGCGTCAAATACAGACTAGGCTGCATAAAAAGACCAAAAGGACGAATCTTTACTTTTGTCGTGTTTCAGCTTCTACATGGAAATTTCCTGGAGGATTAGGCTCTTTTAAGAACAGAATACTTTCTGCTACTAAATATTTCTGTTTTGATGTCAAAGTGCTAACCTAATGATTTTCTTAGAAACAATTTATTTTCTTCTACTTGTTAGGTACCATTGAGTTGGTTTCAACTCATAGCGACCCTATGGTATATGCACATCTGAATGAGACACTGAATGAGACCATCCTCACAATTTATTTCTAGTTACTGTTTTTATGTTTTATTGGGAAACTTTGGTTGTATTTAAATTTATTAAAGGTTTGAATGTATTAACATATATCTTTGTAATTTTGTCCACTGCATACTAAACTCTTCTATGTAATTTGTTAGTGTTTCTCAGATACTCCCAGATCATGCAGTATCATTACAGTATTGATGCACATTTTCTGTATCTGCATTTTTACCCATGTTAGATGCTCCTTTAAGGCATCCAACTTCATGCAGATTTATAATAAAACAATTAGAGATATAAAGCTTACTTCTAGTAAATTATATATATTAGTAGTTTATATTTAGTTTATTTGTAGTTCTTTATACAGTATAATTGGAATAGTTGTTACTAAGTTTTATCAAGTCAGTTCCAACTCATACCAACCCTGTGCAGGGTTTCCAAGAGTCAGAACATCTTTGCAGGAGCAGAAAGCCTTATCTTTCTCCTGAGGAGCGGCTTATGGGCTAGAACTGCAGACCTTGTGGTTTGCACTCCAGTGCTTATTGTACAGAGCCACCTGTCTGAATAGAACTCTAATTATATTTGTGATTCTTTGCTCTTGAATAGAGATACATTCCCTTTAGTTATATACCATGTTCATTACCAGGTTCTCAGTAAGTTGGTAATAATGATGATTGTTTTTGTCTACTGTTCCTTTACATAAAGAGCTCCAGTGGCGTAGTTATTACGTGTCGGACTGCTACTCACAAGGTCAGTACTTCAAATCTACAAGCCACTCCATGGGAGCAAAATGAGGCCTTCTTCTTTTGTAAAGATTAGCAGCCTCAGAAACCCGACACGGGGTTGCCATGAGTCGGAACCGACTCCACAGCACACAGCAGCAGCAGCAGCTCCTTTACATAGAGCATGTTGCCAGGATGGTTCTAAGTGTTTTTAAACATTTATTCATTTAATCCTCATTTCCACCCTGTGAGATCGGTTCTATTGTCATCTCTATTTTACATGCTTGTGTCCTGCATGATGCTGTTATGCTGGGAGCTGTGCCACCAGTATTTTAAGTACTAGCAGGGTTACCAGTGGTCTACAGGGTTCAGTGGAGATTCCAGACTAAGACAGACTAGGAAGAAGAAGAGACAGACTGCTTCTGAATGTTAAGCCACTGAAATGTTAAGCCACTGAAATCACTATGAATAGCAGCGGAACATTGTCAGGTATAGTGGCCAGAAGATGAGCCCCTCACGTTGGGAGGAATTCAAAATATGACTGGAGATGAGCTGCCTGCTCAAAGTAGAATTGACCACAATAATGTGAATGGAGTAGAGCTTTCAGGGCCTCCATTTGCTGAAGGGACACAACTCAAAATGAGGAGAAACAGCTGAAAACAGCCATTAATAATAAGAACATGGAATGTGCAAAGGATGAATTTAGGAAAATTGGAAGTTCTCAGAAATGAAATGGAATGCATAAAGGTAGATATCCTAGGCATTAATGATCTGAATTACACTGGTATTGGCCATTTTGAATCACTCAATCTGATAGTTTACTAGAGTGGGAACAACATACTGCATCCATCATCAAAAAGAATATTTCAAGCTTGATCATGAAGTACAGTGCTGTCTATGATAGTATAATATCTTACACCTACAAGGTAGACCAGTTAATATCACTGTTAATCAAATTTATGTACCAACCACTAAAACCAGTGATGATGAAATTGAGTAATTCAACAACTTCTTCAGTCTAAAATTGATCAAACATGCAATCAAGATGTATCGATAATTACTGGTGATTGCAATGCAAAGTGTGAAAACAAAGAGAAAGGATTGGTGGTTGGAAAACAAGGTTTTGGTAATAGAAATGATGCTGGTGATCATATCAGAACAGACTCTAAAACTTGCTTTTGAGCATAGAGAAGTGAAAGCAACTGTAAGAAATGAAGTGAAAAAACTGAATAGAATATTTCAAAGGACAACTCGAGAAGACAAAGTATGATTATGAAATGTGCAAACATCCTGGAGTTAAAAAAACAAAAAAGAAGAACACATTCAGCATTTTTCAAGCTGAAATAACAAGAAAAAATTCAAGCCTCCACATGTAATATTGAAGGCTTCTGTGGCACTGTAGGATAAGCACTCAAATGCAAGGTCAGTTTAAACTGCAGGCTTGGCAGTTCAAATTCACTGCCTGCTCCGTGGAAACTCTATACAGTGTCGATATGAGTTGAAACTGACTTGACAGCACTTAAAAACAACAACAACATAGGCAAAATATTGAATGCTGCAGAAAGCATCAAACAAAAATGAAAGGTATATGCAAAGTCAGTATTCCAAAAAGTCCATTTCAGCCATTTTAAGAAGTAGCATATGATCAAGAACCCAGAGTTAAAGGCATTGGAATTAATAGAATGCAAATTGAAATATTTTAACAAATTGATACAGCATTGGAGGCGCTCACTCATCTATGCTAAGAAATTTGGAAGGCAGTTAACTTACCAACCAACAGGAAGAGATCCTCATTTGTGCCATTCTAAATAGAATGTGTAAATCATAGAGCAATATATTTAATATCACATGCAAGTAAAATTTTGTTGAAGATAATTTTAAAAACTACTGTAACAGTACATCGACAGGGAACTGCCAGAATTCAAGCTAGATTCAGAAGACGATGTGGAATGAGGGATAACGATGTTGCTGATGGATTTTGGTTAAAAGTAGAGAATGCCAGAAAGATGTTTACTTGTACTTTATGAACTCTGTATAGGCATTTCACCTTATGGACCATGACAAACAATGAGTAACACTGTGAAGAATAGGTATTCCAGAACACTTTCTTGTGCTCATGAGGAACCTGTTCATAGACCTAAAGGCAATCATTCAAACAGAACCAGGAGATACTTTGTGGCTGAAAATCAGGAAAGGTATGTTCCAGGGGTGTGTTCTTTTACCATACCTATTAAATCTGTATGCTGAGCAAATAATTCCAAAAGTTGGATTATATGAAGAAGAATGTGGCATCAGGTTTAGAGGAAGACTCATTAATAACCTGTGATATGCAGTTGATACAGCCTTGCTTGCTGAAAGTGAAGAGGACTTAAAATACTTACTGATGGCGATCAAAGACTACAGTACAGATTGCCCCACAATATGAAGAAAACATAAATGCTCACATCTCGACAACTAAACAACATCAGGATAAATGGAGAAAAGATTGCAGTTGTCAAATACTTGATTTTGGTTGAATCCACTACCCATGCTCATGGAAGCAGTTACCAAGAAATTTAGGGACGTATTGTATTGGGCATCTCAGCTACACAAGACCTCTTTAAAGTGTTTAAGGGCAAAGATACCAGTTTGAGAAATAAGGTGCCCCCGACCCAAGCCATGTACAATAAGAAATAAGGGAGACTGTAGAAGAATTGGTGCATTTGAGTTATGGTGTTAGAGAAGAATATTGAAAGTACCATGGACTACCGAAAGAACAAACAAATCTGTGACTGAAGAAGTACAGCCAGAATGCTCCTTAGAAACCAGGATGGCGAGACTTCATCTGTGATACTTGAGACATGTTATTAGGAAAGACCAGTCCCTGGAGAAAGACATCATGCTTGATGGATAAAATAGAGAGTCAGTAAAAAAACAGGAAAACCTCAATGAGATGGATTGACACAGAGGCAACAGCTTTGAACTCACGGTAACAACAACTGAGGATGGTGCAGGACTGGGTAATGCTTCAGTCTGTTATATGCATGTGTGTATTATAGCGTAGTGGTTACGAATCGGGCTGCGAACCTTAAGGTCAGCGGTTCGAAACTACCAGCCGCTCCGCGGGAGAAAGATGAGGCTTTCTACTCCCGTAAGGATTTACACCCTTGGAAACTCTGTACAGGGTCGCTGTGGGTCGGAACCGACTCGATGGCACTTAACAACAACAACAACAATTATTTATATGAGCACACAATATGGGAAAATATCATTGTATAGGCCAACTCGTGAACCCAATGAGAGCTAAGCTATACTAAATTTATTGAATATTTTTTGAAAAAGTTGAACAGTGTAATGTTTAAAAGCATGGACCATGGAGCAAGATGGCTTGAATTCTATCTCAGTTCTACCAGGTGGTAGTTGTGTGACCATGGGCAAAGAACATGTTCTCTCTGTGTCTGTTTTCGCAGCTGAACACTACTGTTATGTGCCTTCAAGTTGGTTCTAACACACAGAAACCATATACACTGCCTTATTTAACCTCTCAACAGAAAGTATCTTAACAGGCCACAAAGTTGAGCATACAAACTAAGGGGCAGAATGATTGTTTTTGTATGGGAATATTGACTGAAACAAGAAATTACAGCCAAGAGATTGACAGAGAGGAAAGAAACAAAAATGTTAAGGTAAATACAAAATCAGAGAAACACAATAGTCTGGAACCATTTAAAGTAGGGCCAAATACCTGTTTTTACATATACATTATATGTGTTTTGTAAACCACATACTAGTTTCCTGCACAGTCTCTATGTTACATTCATGTGTGTGTTTTGACATTGGCATGTAATATGGGATAATGTAGTCATTTATGTTCCAATCATCCCTAAAGGACTAATATATAAATATGTATATCAATACAATATGTATAATATATTGATACTATTATATCACTAAATTATATCTTATATAAATTATATTATTTCACTAAATTAAATGTGTCTTTATTAGCTTAGTATAATCATAGATATTCATATTTTAACTCCGTTAATAGAAAGTAAATTCTGTTCAGAGTACTCTGTTGAAGAAAATATGTAAATATATAATCATGTGGTATATATGTTTATATTATAGCATAGGTCACTCCATAAATAATTTAAGATTAATGCTTCAAGCAAAAGCTTCAGTTATGTGGTATGAAATCAGTAGAGTGAAACATCTATTCTGGCTGTGCTAAAACACATACATCAATCCGAATATGCAAAACACAGTTGAAATTTATATTGTAATACATATACCGTAGATAAAATTTATGACAGTCTCTAGTTAGCATGCTTTGTACTTGAAAATGATTTTAAGCTTTTTGTTTATATATGCTATTAGATATTTAATGGCCCTGCTGGCACAGTTGTTAAGTGCTCAATGAAAGGTTGGTGGTTCAAATTCACCAGCTGCTCTGCAGGAGAACGACGTGGCAGTCTGGGCCTGTGACTGTTACAGCTTTGGAAACCCTGTGGGGCAGTTTTACTTTGTCCTTCAGGTCTACCACGGGTCAGTGTCAGCTCAACGACACTGGGTTTGTGTTTTTGGTTATGAGGTATTGAAAGTATATCTAGCAAACTTGACTCATATTTATGTTGGGTGATCGATTAATGGTTTCAGCTCGAATTTTTCAGCATTAGTCAAACTGTCAATTCTGGGAATAGTTCTAATAGAAACAATTGAGTTACTACAAAAATTAGTAAAATATATTACTCAATATATTTCTAAAACTATGTGGCACTGTAGCATCAACACTGGACTTCAAACCACAAGACTGGTTCTTCAAACCCACCAGCTGCACCTTGAAAATCCTACAGGGTCCCTATGAGTTGGAACCAACTTGATGACACTTAACAACAACATAGTTTATGCTATTACTGTAGTCCTGGTGTGGCGCTGTGGGTTAATGCATCAGACTGCAAAGCCATTTGAACTGCATGGTCGGTGGTTCAAGCTCACCAGCTGCTCCTCGGAAACCCTATACAGGGTCACTATGGGTCGGAACCAACTCGATGGCACTTAACAACAACAATAATTTTTTAGTTTAATAAATGAAGTAATGTGAACATATTGGCACTGTCTTACAGATGGAAAACTTGAAATACCAAAGTGATGTATCAAATAACGTTTAATTGGAACTTGAGTCAAAACAGAAAATAGTGTTCTTTAATGCTGTAGTGCTACCCCTGGCTCCCAGACTTTAATGCTCTAGTGCTACCCCTGGCTCCCAGACTTTAATGCTGTAGTGCTACCCCTGGCTCCCAGACTTTAATGCTGTAGTTCTACCCCTGGCTCCCAGACTTTAATGCTGTAGTTGCTACCCCTGGCTCCCAAACTTGCACATGATAAATATCACTACTGTGTTCTGCTTTGAGAAAGTGATCATGATGTACAAATGCTTCAATAAGTAGCATTTTTAGTAAGCTCAAGAAGTATTCATAAGGTTTTCTATTTGTTATCCATTACTGTCAACAAACCATCATAAAATGTAATGGCTATTCCAACAGCAGTTTATAGTTTCTCACGATTCAGTAGGTTGACTGGGCAGGTCCTTTGCTGATCTTTTCTGGGTATCTATCTCATATGCCTGCATACTTTTAAATCTAAGACTGGCCAGGGCTCGCAGTCCTGACAATGGTCTGCTAACTGTCAGTGAGTGGAGTATCTGGCTGCTCTTCCATATGGCCTCTCCTTGGTCGTTCCTGCTCACCTATGTCAGGGCAGCATTCCAAGAGGGCAAAGGTAAAAGGTACAAGGCCCTATGCCCAGGATCTGAAACTACCAGTGTCATTTCTACCATCTGCTGTTATTGGTCAAAGCAAATCATTGGCCAGCCCAGATTCAGTTTCTTGATGGGAGAAGCTGCAAAGCATTGTGACCATATTCAGTCAGTGATAAGTTCTTCTCAAATCCACCATTAGTTTTTAAAGATCTTATTAAACCATTAGAAATAATTAACTACATACAAATTGAACACTTTACACAGAAAATTCTTATTTCTCGTATTGTGTTTTGGTATGCTACATACAAAATTTAGTACCACTATATATGCTCTGGTAGTGTAGTGGTTATGAATCGGGTTGCAAACCTCAAGGTCAGCAGTTCAAAACTACCAGCTGCTCCGCGGGAGAAAGATGAGGCTTTCTGCTCCTGTATAGATTTACAGATTCGGAAACCCTGTTAAGGGTCGCTATGGGTCGGAACCGACTCGATGGCACTTAACAACAACAACATATTATCTTTATTGAAAATAAATTACTTAAAAATATGAAAATTTATATTATAACCTTAATTACTACTGCTCCTGAAAATAAATATCATTGATGTTTATGCTGTTTTAAGCAGAAATGGAAAAGGTGCATTTTGAATGTGTGTTTTTCATATAGAATGCAACTAATGAACTCACGAAGCAGTCATCAAATGTGAAGTCTCTGAAATTTGAACTCCTAGCAAAAGAGGAACACATAAAGGAAATACGCGAAAGGTAGGTTCTTCCTACCAGTTGTATTTGGTGCCACCTAGTGGCTAATAACATTATTAGAAACAATGGTGTTAAAAATTATGTTTTCCTTCTTGACTCATGTTAAAGTCTATGTAAAGTGAAAGTAACTTGTATTATAAATAAAGTAATTAAATGGCAAGCTAATTACTAATTTTCATTAGAGAAACACTATTTAAAATTAGATTTTCCTTCTTAGAGTAAACATATTAAATTTTGAAGAAATAAAAAACAATGGCCTCAAGAGTATGAAAAAAATTTTTAATGTGGCACTTGACCTAAACAATATGTCTAGATTGATACTTAGTTGTATTTAATGATTGAGTTTATAAAGTTAAAGGGAAAAGGAAACTTTTGTGTATGTCTAAAAACAGCAAAAGTCTATCAAAGTGTGTACTGTGTGTTAATTAAAAAATTTTCAAACTTTCATTTAATCAAAATTATTTCCTTCTCTGTCTTTTATAGCTGTATTACATGCTTAGATGATAACATGCTTAGATAGAATTATAATTGGTTTTTGTTAACTTTAAGATATATATACTATTTTATAAGTGAAGATAAAGTGAAAGTGATATTAATGAATAAAAATTCTAAATGAAAGAATTGGTTGCTTTTTATAGACTATCTTGCAGTCAATTTACAGATTAAGAGGCAATGCTGCTTATTGGTTTGACAGGGCACTTAAACAGTACCCTGAATCTTGGCTCGACTCCCCAGCTCTGTGCCTCAATTCATACTAGTAGTTCCTAAGGTCCTGAGGAGTCAATGAATGAGTACAGGTGAGGAACTTAGAGCAATGCCATGCACACAGGAAGTACTTCTAACATTTAATGGTTCCTCAACATAAACTAATGCATCTATTTAATCTCAATTGAATATATCAATTCAAAATTAAAATAATATTACTGTAAAATCTTATAATGTAACAAAAATTTCCCAATGTTTTAAGTGTAAGCTTGTTTGTCAGTCTTATGCTTTTAGATTATCTCTAAATATCCTTGAGTTTTTTCCTAGCTCTGCAAGAAAAAAGTGCTCTGTAACTTAAATATGATAACTTAAAGTTTTCATAAATTGTATTATTTTTTTTCTGACTTAACATATGCATGTTAATGCCATAATAATCAAATCACAACTATATCATAGATATTATAAGTACTGAAAATATTAATGGAGTAATATTTTAATATATAATAACATGTTGTCCTATGTAATTAATTTTATTAATTTACTGTTTTATTATTAAAATGCACCATTTAAAATTTAACAGCAGACATAATATTGGGTAAGATATAAGATACTCCCACTTTAATAATGCTTCATTTGATAAAATATCTTTTATTTTCCTCCCAAGAATGTCGAGAATGGAGCGGGATATAACTATGAAAAGACATTTGATAGAGGACTTGAAATTTCGACAGAAAATACACTTGGAAAGTAATGAGAGTATTAACGAAATGCTAGAAAATCTGGAAAAGAAGGTATCAGTTTTTCTGTTTGCTTACATTAAAATAGTTACTTTCCATTACTGTTTACTTGCTTAACTTGAATATTCAGTCCAAATTATAGAAAATACTCATAGAATATATGCACTGTTACATAATTACATTGTTTCTTTAAAAGTACTCATAGAATATATGCACTGTTACATAATTACATTGTTTCTTTAAAAGTACATTATTTGTGTTTAAATCCAAGACTCCAAAATCTGATACCCAAGCTAGACATATTCTTATATCTGTCGATAAACATTCCATGAGAAGTTTATCAAGTTTAATTTTTTTAATCTTTAATTTTATGAAATAAATAATTCTTTCATTAGCATATTATTTCATTTAAATATACACTTTATAATTTATTAAATGTATAATAAAGCATATATTTCAAATTAAAATAATACTAGCCAGTAGCTATCATACGTTCTGTCATCTGTGTACTTTTATGTATGTGTGTATGTATGCTTAATTCAGGGTACACAGGGAGGGAATTGTGCTTTAAAAAGTTCTATAATAACTGACTGCAAGTTAGAAATCAGGAATTTGCTTACTAAGAGAGACTCTTTGAGGGGAAAGTTACTATTTACACAATCCATGAAGCACACTGTGCTCTGGCATTCATTAAATGCTGTCTTGTCCTGAGAGAACATCTCCCTTATCTTCCTTGTTGGAGATAAAAATGTAGGTACCCATTAGCTCAAATGAATTTAACAGAAAAAATTTCTCTTTCTTCTCCACATAAATTATAATTACTTCCTGTAGATGTTTTTCAGGGTTATCCTTTAAACTGTGGTCATGTTTTAACTTCATTAATCATTTCAGATGCAGTTTTAGAACCTTTGCATAGCATTCATATATTTAGTATTAAATTTAAAAAGGAAAACTACTTCTTACATTAGTCTTTTAAATGTATAACATATATGTTTCACAGCTTACTTAATTTTATCCTAAAAAGTACACATTACAACTAAAAGTTATCTATGACTTACTTGGCTTGTTTAAACTTCAAAAATAATTGTCTCCTGTCTAAGGAGTTTTATGTCAGTTTTAAAGGCTTCAAATTCCAATGCCATCAAGTCATGGTGGCCTTACAGGACCGAGTAGAACTGCCCCAGAGGGTTCCCAAGGCTGTCATCTTTATGCAGGAGTCCTGGTGCAGTGCTGTGCTTTAATGAGCTGTACTGCAGTCAGTTTGAGCCACAAGGTTGTCAGTTCAAGTTCACCAACTGCTTCTTGGAAACCTTACACAAGGGGGTTCACTATGTGTCAGAACCGACTCGACGGCACTTAACAACAGCAACAACAATCTTTAAGGGAACCAACTGGTGGGTTCAACTGCCAACCTTCCGGCCAGCAGCTGGGTGCTTAGCCACTGAGCCACCAGGACTCCTTATTTTAAAGGTTAAGCAGTTAAAAGTAATAATGTGTTATTAGGTGGGCGAATATACATTCATAATTCATATATTTCTTTGTGTAGTTTGTACCATTGATTTTTAAGGATTGTTAGTCTCGTTTATAGTATGAGTACTATACATCTTCTAATACTTGAGTTTGATACCATTTATGAGAGAATAAATGGAATTAAAGTCACTCATGCAATTCATTTAGTTCTCTCTTGAAATGAATACACTCTGCTACTGGAAAGCCTTCTCCAGTAATACTTGCCTTTCTGCTCTCTCCGTAGGTGAAGACACTAACTGAAGAGTGTTCCAACAAGAAGGTATCAATTGACTCGCTGAAGCAAAGGCTCAGTGTTGCTGTAAAGGAGAAGTCACAGTATGAGCAGATGTATCAGAAAACTAAAGATGACTTAGAGAAAAAGGTATGCTTCTACAGCATTTACTTTGACATGCAACATAGGATCGTGTCCACTTTTAAGTTGCCTTGTTTTCCTCAAAAAAACTAAAAGCTAATTCGATATTCCAGGTAGCTGCAAATAATATTTATCTCTATATGAAATACTGTGGTTTTGTTTAACATTAATGATAATGTTTTATTAGAGAAGATGCAGATTAGAGAGTCTGCATAATTTCTAACATATAAAACCTATTGAAAACTGGCATTTATACAAGTAGATATATATTTTGTAGGCAGAATTTTACACGGAAACTTATTAAATATTTGTATTTGATACTTGGGATCATGTAGTCTAAAGTAGTCTCTGTATCTGCCGTGGCGCTGTACAATAAGCACTGGACCACAAGGTCAGTATGAACCACACTGTCGGTAGTTCAAAATCACCAGCAGCTCCTTGGAACAGACTGATGGCACTTACATCAGCAGCAACTCTTTTTACAGTTTGAAGTAATTTTGTTAGTAATGTGCTCAGGATATTTTGTTGAAAAGTAAATATCCATCAATTTTACTCATATATTTGGTTGGTTTTTAAGTGCCAACAAGTCCTTTCTGACTCAGAATGATCTTATACAGGGTTTCCCAGAAGTGGTTGGTGGGTTTGAGCCATCAGTCTTGCTGTTAGCTGTCCAGTACTACACCAGGATAAAGAAATACATAGAAAATTAGTAGTATAAATACACTGAAAATGAGTAGTACAACCCTTTGCTAATCTGACATGTATACCTGTTCTAACCCTGTCTATGAAATATTTTTATTCCATGGTTACTGGCCTTTTGCAGGATCTCAAGCTTACTCTACTAGCATCGAAAGTGAATGAAACGGAATCTGCAATGGCAGAAATGGAAACTACAGCAGCCAAGCAGCTACAAGGATTAGCACTGCAAAGTGAGCAGGTCCTCGAAGGGGCACAGAAGAAAGTGCTATTAGCCAATGAGAAAGTGGGAGAATTCACCTTATTTGTGAAGGTTTGAATTATTTGCTGTTTTATAGTGCTTCTGTTGAGTCACAGTAGGCAAGTGGCCTCTCAGATGATGGGGATACATTGAAGTCCTCTCTGATTTCCTAACTCACAAGCATCATTTCCTTCCTTCCTTCCTTGGCATGCTGCTCAAAATTTCTCTATAAAAGACCTGTTCTTATAGTTTGCATTTAAAATGTGCTACATTATTATAGGGATAGTGGTGGCTCCATAGGATAAGCACAGGATTACAAACCACAAGGTTGGCAGTTCAAGACTACCAACCACGCCACAAGAGAAAGATGAGGCTTTCTGCTCCTGCAAAGATATAAAACTTCGGGGATGCTATACAGGATGAGTATGAATTGAAACTGATTTGATGGCACTTAACAACAACAAAACTATTGTTAACAGGACATTTTTAAGGTCAATGTGGAGTCCTAATGTGCTGTAGGATATGCACTGGAAGGCTAACCAGAAGTCAGTGGTTCAAACCTACTAGATACTCCTCTGAAAACCTATAAGAGGTCTCTGTGAGTCATTAACAACTTTACTAGACTTTAACAACAATCATGTCAGTGTAGTTATCCAACATTAACTTGATTAAGTTAATTTGACAGATTTTTAAGATGCAGGAATTAAGTCATTTCCACCTTACACACCTTTGAAAATCAATCAAAGAAGAACAACCAGAAAGGAGTCTCCATGTTGAATGAAGTTAGGAGACAGCTGGACCCCAATCCTCAAATTAACAAGACAGAGAAAGGACATAAGAATGGTGCATGACTTAACAGAACAAAGGAGAGAAAAATCCAAGTGTCTGTAGCATGTGTAGCACCTAGGAGGTATTGATTAAAGAACCCCGGAAAGACTCAGGAAGGGACTGCACACAGATCCGTTAAAACTGAGAAAAATCTTCTTTCTCTTCCTTACATATAAGGGGGCTTCAAGAAGCTCATGGAAAAATATCCGTTATCTTTTAATTCCTAGGGCTAGATGGGAATGTTCAGGAGCCACCATTTGAATCAACATACCTTCAGTAATGTCCTAAATCTTAGTGGAGTCCAGGTGTAGTGCTGTAGGATAAGCACTGGACTGTAAGGTCGGCAGTTCAAACTCACCAGCCACTCTTTGGAAACCCTATACAGGGTTGCTATGAGTTGGAACCAACTCCACAACACTTAACCAGTAACAACTTGGCATTTAAGACTGCAAAATTGAAATCTGTCCCACTTAATCGTAATCTTTCCCACTGCTCTCCAACTTGCATGCACACTGTGCTCATTGGTGCCTCTGCTCAGGGGCTCCTTCTCATTGAAAATGCCCTGACCTTTTTCTTTACTCTTCTCTTCACAGTTAGCTCAGTGCCTTTCTTTGTCATGGATCCTTCCTTTAGCTCCAAGGTGAAGTAGCACAGAGTCCAAGTCTTCCATTTACTAGCTGTGTGATCTCAGGCAAGTTTTTTCATTGTTCTGTGCCTCCATTTGGCCATCTAAAGGATGAGCATGCAATGATAGAGTCTGCCTGAGGAGAGACTTTAAAAAAGCAAACATAGATAAAGCTCAGAGCTGCACCACAATACCAGAAGTGTGATCAAATGTCGGTCATTATTATTAATAGTAGTCGTGGGATTTGTATTTGTCTTCTGGACATTTATTCTGTTTGCCACGTGAATTTACACATAACTGTAAACTTTAATAATTTTTATTTTAACCAGATTATTGCCAACTTGATGACAGGAACATTGTTGAGCATTATCCTCAGAGTAATGACACATATCATTGGGAAACTGGGCTCCTTAAAAGCTTGAACATTGTATCTACATGAATAAGGCAGGGTTCCGGACACATAATACTGGTCAGATTGCAAACTCTATGAAGGCAAGAACTATACACATTCCTTAACAAGTGTAATAGGAGCATGACTGCCATGACTCATTCTCTAGAGAGCTTATTAGAGTAGCATGTACCCAAAAGTACTTAATAAATATTATTAGTGGTATTAATAGTAATAATGTTGTTCTGGCCCAGTTGTGGAATCTGTGTTCCCTTTAGTCTTTTCATTTATTCATAGGGTACAACCAGATTATAGCGGAGGTGGAGTGGCCATCTGTTCTAGATCTAGTCTTGAATATGGAATTTTGCCCTGGAGTAAAATCAAGTGCTTTGAGCATCTGGGCTGGATATATGTGGCAGAGCTGAGGCTTTGAATTCTCCTAATAACTGAGTAAATCACACAAGGGAAATTTCTAGAAGTATTTACCCAGTTTGACTCAACTCTGATATAGGCTAGTTAATGTGCTTGTATCTGAGAGTAATATGCATGCTCCATCTTCTCAAGGTTTTTGTTCACACTAAAATAAATACCAGCTAAAGAGCAGCATTTAGCTGGAAGCTTTAAATGGTTTCATTACCAAAATGTATTCTTTTGGTAAGGTTTAGTCAGATTTTCTGGCCCTATATATTTTTTCACTTCTATAATGAAAACATTTTTATGGAACATTGTAAGTTTATTTTCACATAAAACCTGTGAAAGTTGGGACCTGTGTAAGACAGAAACTTGAAAGAGAAGGAAACCGCAAATATTTTCCACTAAATAGAGAGCGATTAAAAAAGAAAAAGTGGTGCCTGCATGTAGTCAAAAGTGGAAAACTTGTGAGACCCAAAAACCAAGGCAATTAGTCCTACGGAGTCTCGCATTTACATTGAAATGCAATCTGTATGGAGGGCTTTGGTCTTTGATCTTCATCAGTAAGTATTTTAAGGCCTCTTCACTTTCAGCAAGCAAGGTGTACAATTGTTAATAATTTGCATTGATCTTTTCTTTTCTATGATACAACATAACTTGAATCACCTATGTGTTGTATACCATTATATTAAAAAAAAAAATGTAAAGGAACTTTTATCTAAAATAAGGTTGTTGTTGTTAGATGCCATCAAGTCAGTACCAACTCATAGCTACCCTGTGTACAACAGAATGAAATACTGCCCGATCCAGGGCCAACCTCATAATTGTTGCCACGCATGAGCCCATTGATGCTTTCACTTGCCAATCCAGTGCGGTGGGGGTCTTCCTCTTTTTCTCTGACCCTCCACCTTACCAAACATGATATCCTTCTCCAGCGACTGGTCCCTCCTGACAATATGTCCAAAGTATGAGAG